AATTTTAGAATTACAGAATTCTAAAATTAAATACTCAAAAAATAATTAATTGAGAATTAATTATCATTTAAATAATGTGATTATTTAAATTTGAATTTGAATCATGAACATAATTTAAATTTATACTTTTAAACTTATTTGATAAGTTGTTCAATTTAGAATTCAAATTGATTTAAGTTTGACTTAAATTCGAATTTGAATTTGAATTAAAATTGGATTATAGGATAAAGGATGATTTTCTCTTCCTTCCTTATCTGAGATTGGCGCCACACACAGGTTAAAAAAACCCTAGCATGGCCGGCCACAAGGGATAAGGGTAGAGGAGAATTTTTGTTCAAAATTCAAATAGGAGAGAGAGATTTGATTCCTTCCAGAAGTTGGACTTCTACTCTATAAATAAGATATGATGAAAAATTGCGCGTGACAATTTTTTTACCTAACTAAGAGGGGCTGGCCGAATTTCCCTGTTATAGAGAGAAGAAAAAATTTTTTCTCCAAAAAAATTTCACATCGTGCATGCGTTGGTGTTTGTAGAAAATTCGAGTGTTTAATCAAACCCGGTTTAGTCTCGAGTGTGCCCACACACACGTCTTCGTAGATTCAAGGAATTGATGTGGAAGACTTTGGTTTTCTAAACACAAGGCTTTAGAGCAAGGATCGTTCGTGGTCAAAGAACTCAAGTTATCATCCGAGTCGGCCTCCAGGTATTTTTCCTAATTGAGTTCTTGATATATAAATTAATGTGATTAATTTATTCATGCATAAATTAATATAATCTATAGATTATCTCAAAAGTTTTATAAAATTTTTTGTTATACTTGATCTGCCTTCCCGCCACGCTTCCGCATCTGAATTCGATTTGGTTACCAACATTAAGTACAATAGGAGCTTTTATGTATCTTACTAATTGTGACGCCCTTGAAAATTAAACATGTTTAATTATGCTAAATTGTGAGTTATTAGTGTGCCTAATTTAATTTTCACAATTAATCAATGAACTTTAAATTATTTTCAGTATTTATAATTTCACCCCAAAATTTTTTAGAAATACACTTAAATTTTAATGCATTTTCAATTTTCTCATTTTTCCCTTTTTCTTTTTTTTCTCCTTTTCTTTTCTTTTTCTTTTTTCTTTTTTCTTTTTTTTTCTTTTTTTTCCTTTTGTCTTCTTTCCCTTCCCGTGCAGCCCAGCCCCCCTGTCTCTCTCTCTCCTTCTTTCTTTTTCTTTTTCTTCTTTCCTCTCTGGTTCTCCCACACCACCTCCCTCTCTCTTTTTCTCCACCACCGGCCACTTCCTCTGGGCTCTCTCTCTGCCGCCAGCCTCTCTCTCTCTCCCTTGCTCTCTCTGAGTTTCTCTCTCTCGCTAGTCTGGCCGAGAGACACAAAAAAAAATGAAAATTGAGAGAAACTGAGGGAAACAAAGCTCCATCAACTAATTTGAGGTACTTGAAACCCACTCTTTGATTCAAATTTTAAGCTTGAGAAAGTTTGGTTTTTGTTAAATTTGAATAATTTTGAGTTAGGGTTTGGATTTGAAAAGTTGTTGTAGAATTGAATGAAATTTGGGGGTTTTCAGTTATTGGACTTGTTGAATTGATTAGAAATTGATTTTGATGGATTCTGGAGAATTTATTTTGAAATTGAACTTGAATTGCAGGTTTGGTATTTTTCCTATTTATGCCGGCATGTTGCCGAAATTTCTTTAAAAACGTATTTTTAAACTGAAATTAAATAGAAAACCAAACCCGTGAATTGGATTTAAATCTTTAAAGAACCCCCAAACTGATTATAAAACCGTTTGTGAAACTTAGATTTGAGTCAAGGCACACTAATAGGAAACAATTAAACATGGTTGAGCTTAATTCCGTTTAGGAATGAGAAATACTTCCTAAGATATTGCTTTTGTGATAAAACTAGTTGAGAATGTCAAGTATTAAAGGTTTAAGGAAAGCAGAGGCTAGGAGAACGGAAGGCTAGCCCAGGTTTGACATCTGAGAATAGGATATTCTTGTCCATATCCTTATTAGCCTCACTTTAAATGGTTTTGGCCAATAAAAATGTTTTTGAACAAAACATGTTTCAAGAAAATGATTTTAAAGGAAATAGCATGAATAATGCTATTAAGTTTTCCAATGATTTTAGAAATGAGATTTTAAAGAGTATCATTTCTTAAAATGAAATATTTTAAGGAATGATACAACGCATGGTGGCCACAGAGATCGGGATATGGGAATCATATCCTTGGGGGTAGGTCCCGAAACCCGTATGTATCCACTTCTTGCTCAGTGCTGTTATGGCTCTGTACATTTTCATTAGACATATACTTTTCTACTACTATGTGAGTATTTCCTTTTCTCTTTTCAAAAAAAAGGGATGATCGGTTCCGGGTGTATGTCTTCAGACCGTGAGTACCTTTATTTACAATGTTTTATAAAATTATATCCTATTGGGCCTTCCGCTCACTTTTTTTTTTGTTTTAAATGTATTAAACCCCTCTAAGTGATGCTAGAAGTAGCGCGGAATAAGTGAGGAATCCCGTTCTAGAAGAAAGGAAGCGGTGAAGTATTATCTATCTTTATCAGATTCATTAAGGTATGTATTAACTATGAATTGTAAGACCTTAAACATAACTAGACTGTTGGTTGATGTCAGTTACTTACTTTTCTGTATTTATTTATGTATGCACAAATTATAACCATGTGGACGCCAGAGGCTGACTTTGAATGTTGATCTTGACAGTGATTGCGTTTTGTAAAGTCCGCCTCACTTTTTGTTCTAAACTCGATTTCCTTAAAATAGCGGAGCTTGTTTGCGAATACTTGAGTAATTGGGACTTGAAATCAAATTTTATACTGTTATTTTGTTAATTACTTTCTTAAACAAGTTTAAGTTTCTAAACAAGTCTCCACATCACTAACCCCTATTTGGGGGCGTGACACTAATTGCACCTGACAATATATAGCTTTTGCTACTAAAGCATTAGCAAGATTTAGCTCATCTCCTACACGAAGACATTGGAACGAAATTCAGCATATATTCCATTACCTTCAAGGAACATTTGATTTGAGATTATTTTATCTTATAGTATCAAAACAAGGGATGATTTTTTTTTTCAGATGTAGGATATTTGTCAGATCTACACAAAGACAGGTCTCACACATGATACGTGTTCACATGTGGAGGTACTATTGTTTTATGGCGTTCACAAAAGCAAACACTTGTTGCCACTTTTTTAAATCATGCCGAAGTTATTGCACTCATTGAAGCAAGTTGAGAATGTGTATGACTGAGATCTATGACTCAACATATCTAAGAAACTTGTGGACTATCTATTGTAAGGATCCAACAGTATTATTTGAAGAAAATGCAGCATGTGTCGCTCAAATAAAAGAAGGTTACACCAAAAGCGATAGAACAAAACACATATCCCCAAAGTTCTTCTCATACTCCTAAGAGCTCGAAAAGAATAAGGCTATTGATATTCCATACATTTGATCAAGTGATAATGTAGCAGATCTTTTTATAAAAGCACTTCTCACTACAACATTCAGAAAGCATATTCATAGTATCGAGATGCGTCATCTGCGAGATTTATGAGGAATGCCTATACATGTCAACTTGAGGGGGAGTTTACGTGGCTGTACTCTTTTTTCCTTATTATGATTTTATCCCACTAGATTTTCTTGATAAAGTTTTTAACGAGGCAACATAAACACGTATAGATAAATGATACTCTTTTTCCCTTTGCTATGGTTTTTATCCTACTGGGTTTTTTCTAGCAAGGTTTTTAATGAGGCATCATGAATGGTGGACATCTAAAGGGGAGTGTTATGAATAGTAACTGTCCACCTCAGTCAAAGTTACTATGCAAGTCAGTCAAAATTATTGTTCATGTCAAAATAAATAGTAAATACTGTGCATATAGTAACCGTGAATAGTGCTAAAAATTTTTCTATAAATAGAGTTTTAAAGATCTTCATTTTATATACACTCACAAAATTAATAAAACTATCTCTCTAATTTCTCTCTAAAGTTTTTCTTTTTAGTTTTGTATTTTCTTAGTTTTCGTAATAAGCTTTTAAACCAAAGAAATATAAGTCCATTTTCAAAAAATAAACAAAGAAATATATGGTTTTGCTAACCTAAGATATTATATTTTTGCCAACCAAGATATTATATTTTTGCCACTAAGGATTACATTTACAACAAAAGATTTACCATAATTGGAAGAGAAACTAAACACGCTACATGAATTCTCTTTTTGAGTTCCCAAATGAGGGACTAAAATTATGCACCTCTTAACACTTAAGTCTTATTCATTTTATCGATTTAAATTTAAAATTTAAATTTTATTATAGTAAAAAATTATCAGAAACAGTCACATCTAATTTTTTTATTATAATAAAAAAAATTTTATATAAAATTACATCTTAACTCAAATTAAAAATTTAAATCAATAAACTAAACAAACTCTTAATTTATTTATGAATAGCCACTAAATTTTCTCTCAATCTCTCTCTTTAGTATTAAAAAATATTTATTTCCCTACTATCATGAGCTCTTGAATATATCTCCTGCACTTGTAAAAATTTTGACAAAATGTTTAGAAATGACAAAAATTCATTAACTATGTGAGCAGTGAATTTGCCTCTCCCTCAGACTTCTGTCAGTTTAGTTTTCTGTCATTTTCAAACACGTTCAAATAAATAGTAAGGTCCAGGTCCAAAGAACCTCTTCAAGTGTTAAATGCACAAAAAGACAGAACACAAGCCCACTTGTGACCAAATTCCACCTTCAGTTTTCTGCTTAATAACCTCACCAAAAAGCTCAAATTTTAAGACACATATAAGTACAGTTCTTTTCCCCACCATTCTTCCGTTTCACCTTCTCACTTCTATTTTGAGCTCTAAACTAAAAGCAAAAAAAAAAAAAAAAAAAAAAAAAAAAAAAAAAAAAAGTCTTGATGACTCACAAGTTTTTTCAGCTTTTGGGCTTCTTTTTTGCCAACAAGAAGTACAATACAAGATTTTGGCATCTGGGTTTTCTCAATTTCCCCTTTCTCCAATTCTTAGAATAGAAAAATTAAAAAAAAAAAAGAAAAAAAAATCTCATGTTATGGTAATGGAGATTGTGATTTCTGTGATACTTCTCTTTGTGGGCATTGCTGTTTTGGTGGTGATTCATATCTGTATTGTTGGGAGGGCATTTGGGAGAGGAAATCAAGGTGCGAATAACAACAACAACAACAACAACATTCTTGGGAGTAACAAAAGAATGTCTAGTGAGGACTTGAAGATGATTCCTTGCTTTGATTACAATATGTCTGGAGAGAAAGAGTCTAGCTTTGTGGATTGTGCAGTTTGTTTGGAGAATTTCAAGGCTGGTGATAAGTGCAGATTATTGCCTAGTTGTAACCACAGTTTTCACTCTCAATGCATAGATTCATGGCTGTTGAGGACTCCGGTTTGTCCGATATGTAGAACTTGCGCTAAGCCTGCAAAGATTGGTGTCGTTTTGGGTGAAGAAGCTAGTGGGGTTTCACAAGATTGTGGAATTGAATTGATATGAAATTATAAATGAAATAAAACTTCTGGTCTGAATTGTAAGTTTAGTTTATTTTTTTTAGTGTTGTATGTGTTTTTCTGCAATATATATATACTAAGTATAAATTTGCTTTTTTTGCTTTTCATATATATTTTTTTTCCCTTTTCAGCTTTCCATGAAGTTTTTCAATTAGTATGGCATGTTAAACATGGTAATAATTTGTTCAAATGGGATTTAGTTGAAGGGGGAAAAAGAAACTGACATTTGCAGGGAAAATTTGACAAGCTGTTGAACTTTTTTTTTTAATCCTTTTTAAGTCTTGTGGTTCCAGTACAGTTTGATTGCTTCTTGTTTTGTACTTTTGGCTGTTTGGATTTTCCCAAAATTTGGTCTTAAAGAAATTGTAGCTCAAGATTCATCGTCCTGACAAAGTAATAAAAGATTAGCACCATGGGACCAATTTTGCTTTAATAGTTCGATGTGAATTTATTACACTCATTTTCTTTTACGGTTCATTCAATCCTTTTTTTTTTGGGTGAAAATTAATGGCATTTTCATAGATCTTCAACAAATACGTCCTTCAAAACAAGTAGAAGTGTTTGGTTTTTCTTTTTTGTAATTATAGAAAAATATGTGCAAATCTCATGTTCTTTAGTTACAAGTACATACTATGTGCACAAAATAACTGAATTTTACAGATTTGCTAGTTGCTAGTCCAACATTAGAAGACTAAAAGAGAGATAAAAGAAAACCATTTTTTGAGAAAATTATCGTTTGCACAACTCAAGTTATAACTTGACTTATATAAATAAAAAAAATTAAATTTAAATTTTTATTAAAAAATATATAATTTAAATTTTTATAAAAAAAATACCGTGACTTGAATTATAAAAATAAACAAAACTTAAGTAGTTTTCTAGCAGGTTTGTGAAGAAAGTCAACGACATTATCGGTAACCATCCACTAAAGAGTTAAGAAAGTAAAAAAGACATGGACGAGAGCTCGCATGAAAAATTATGAGGACTCAAAGGAGAGAGAGAGAGAGAGAGAGATTTTCAACTTTTTATCATTCAATTGGCCAAAAGTTCAGCGTAGCTGTGGAGAGTGTAGGCTCCTATAAAGATTTTCTAAGGTGCTTTACTTGAGCGTTATTTGATCTTTCGGGCATAGAAGAGCCATGTAAACTTATTACTTGGCCAATATATTATTTTTGGTAGAGAGAATTTGGACAAAAAGGAGTTAAAAAATGAAAATAAATTTTAGTGAATGATTGATAGGTGTTGTTCTTTCCAGGCCCATTCAAGCTATACGACTCTTCTCATGACTTATTGGGCCAACCTTTGTTCAAACACTACTTTTTAGCCAAAAAACAAAAAGAATTTAAATTCTTTTTTTTTTTTTAATAGAGAAAACACTGTAATTTGAGCAGAACAAAGTCTCAAAATTTGAGTTATGGACCGTGTAGTATTACTAAAGATTCTCTGAAGGGTTACAGAATAAAGGGTGGAGAAATCACATTATCTCAGGAAGATACAACATCTTTACGTGACAAATGAATCTTTCTCAAAGTATACTATCCATATATCTCGATAATCACCGGTGGTCCAAACTTGAAGCCATAACTTCTTGCGTGGGAGACGAGTGGGCTTTCGATCCCACCAAGCCACCGATGTTGAGTTAAGAACCATGATGTGTTATGACAAGCAGCCGTTCCTAGAAGGAAGGTCAGCCCTTACTCCATTCTTTCGGAATGGCGGACTATTGGTAGAAAGAAGGTCGTCCCTCTACTCCATTCTTTCGGAATGGCGGGACGCTAAGGGAGGGGAACCCTTCCCCTCCCCCGAACCCCTCCCCTTCCCTTGATAGTTCCTATTCGTTCGTCTTCACTTGCTAGTTTTCTTTTTTTTTAATCTCCAACTTTAGGTTTTTCAAACACAACAGATTTTAATTTTGTGCTCATTATAAAGGCCCATGTTTTTCAGCTTCATTAATTATTTACTTTTACACCTAAGCTCACATACATACATACGTACACACGTACGTACATACATTACATAATTGTTAAGAGAATCATGATTTATATGTGATGAAATAACTCCATAACTCGTAAAGGAAATTATCCCCTTTAATTCGTTTATCACTTTAGCACTTTATTGTATATAAGCTTTTAATGTGAAATTCACAAGACAACGCAGCCCCAAAACAAAGGAAGCATACAGGATTAAGCTTTCCAATCAGTAGTAATTGCCTTCAACCAAATTTGTGGACTTGTCTTTTTGAACTACAATTATGGTACAAAAAATCTGTTGGTTTAGCTTTATTGATCTATATCGCATTAACCTTGTCAAATTGTGAAACTTTCGTCCAAAAAAGTTGGAAACAATCAAACATCATCGTCATTCACAAAAGAATAAGAAATGTTTATACCTCATTTGAGAATTTAAGAAGATAGCAATGTCAATCACAAAAATTTGACTGGGTCTATAAAATTTCAGCTTTTATCTGGAGAAGAAATGAAAACACAAGAGCAAATTTTAGCCCTCGTTACAACACTTATTTGTGAATCCGTTTTGTTTCAGGTGTGCCCACACATACGTTTTCGTGGATTCAAGAAATTGACAAGGAAGGCTCGGGTTTTCTAAACAAAGCATTGGAGTGAGGATTATTCGATGTCAAAAAACTCAAGTTATCATCATAATCGGTCGCCAGGTATAATTCATAATCCGGTTCTTGATAAATAAATTAATGAGATTAATTTATTCGTGCATGAATTAATATAATCTATAGAGTATCTCAAAGGTTTTATGAAAATTTTTGTTATACACGATCTGCTACTCTCATGCTTCTGCATCCAAATTCGATTTGAAAACCATCAGTGTTCATGTGTGTCTTGAAGTGTTGAGGGAAGGGGTTATTTATAGGAGGAGATTGGGAGATTTTGACGGTTCCTCCAGAGTCCTATAATCACACCTTGCCAGAGACTTGTACGGACCATCTCTCTTTGGAGCACCTACATCAGGTGGCTTTCCTTTTTGACAAACAAATGGGCCAAAAATAGGTGTATTTGGAGACCAAATTCAGAATTCTTGCCGACATTGGACCTTCCCCAGATCTGGAGATCATGGAGTATTTGACTAAATCTAGTGCTCCGGCGACGCTTCTATTCTCGGAGGTTTGAACACACGTCAGAACAGCTCCATAGCGTAGCCTTCCATTTTTGGATAAACAGTTGTCGCTGGAGCACCTGACATATTTAACCTTCATGGAGCACGGGAAGGATCCTTGAACATAGAGGAGTCTCTCAGAGCATGAGAAGTATCTCCGTGGCGGCGTCCATATTTACATCTTCAGAACTAGCACAAAGACAAACTTCAGCTGGCTTGCTCTGGAGCAAAAACGCTCATGGGCTGACACTGGAGGGTAAGGCGTTAAAGCTTAAATTCTGAACTTTTGAGTCTCTAAAGGCTAAAGGACTTTAAGGACTCCTAAATGACGAGATAAAGGATTCATAAGGTTAAGTTCTCCATCGCTGACTTATTCCTTAGTCCGATTATTTTTAAACCCTCAAGTGGGACTCAAAATCGGATCGGATTAAGAAACAAATCAACCCATTTGATTATTTATGACCCACCAAACTATAACTGATGAGAGTTCTTTGAGCGTGACTTAAGTCCACGAAGTGAGCCCAACAGTGTTACGGAATAAAATTATTAGACCTGGACCATTGTACTAGGCTTATACAAAAATCACCATCAACAAAGTCTCGTTCCTTTTCTTCTGATGTTGCTTCATCTAGTAATCATCGAAATTTATTATGGCGTTTTGGTTTCTATTAACATCTGATTTCTTGTATTTTGACCAATGGAAAACAAAAAGGGTGCAATGGCGACATATCGTTGTAGCTTACAGGGGAAACACCCTCAAACAAACGACTTGCAGTGTGATCCATAGAGAAACGACGCCGGAAACATTAAGTTAATATACACATTTCCTTGTTATTCTCTAAAACGACATGACTGATAACAACGTTAATTTAGAAGAAACGTTAAGCAAACGACACGGCATTTTTAATCAAGAACAAAGCACGGCAAATATATTGTCTTTTTTTATTTTTCCATTTTCTTTTTGTCACAAATACGCTGTGGGACTATTCGGTCCTGAATTTATTTAAAATACAATAATGTTGTTTTTTTTTTTAGGCGAGAGATATATTTTTAAGAACGTCCAAAGTGAAAATTTTTTTTTTAATAAACTTAAAAAGATAAGGTTAAAATCGAAAATAGGCCTACTGGTTATAAAAAATTATAGAAGAAAATAAGTAAATGAAGAAAACAGAAAGATTTAACGTGATTTAATAATGTGTTTACCTTAATTAAGTGGAGAGAACAAAGAATTTTAAACAAGCTACTGCGTGAGAATACATAATTGATGATAATTTAAATACAAGTATAAGAGGATTATACTTGCAATTTTGTTTCATGATTAAGGCCCTTTATATCTATTTATTTAAAACTTTAAATTGTATTAATCAAGATCATTTTATCAGCAAAGCAAAATAAATTTGACAACATTACTCTCTCTCAATCATAAATTATGGAAAATAAAAAACAACTTGAACAAACCATATTTATAAATTATATAAATAAGAGTACCTGAAAGGTTTTAGCATGTTTAGTATTTCTGATAGAAATTGAGCTCTAGCTTTGCCATGAAAAGCTTTCGTCTGAACAGCCAGCCACCACATTACACATGATAATTCATCGCAAAAATTAAAAGTTGAGAGTTTTCAATGTACTCTAAACTACAACTTTCACAATGAGAATGACAAAGTTAACTTTTGCCCATGAGTTACTTTTACAATATTTATCCACATCTTTAAAAAAAAAAAAAAAAATCTTATTTATCATTACAAAAGAATCAAAATTGAAGTATAGAATCGTATCCTAATCCTAATGACAGCAATATTAGCTCTTGAAAAAACCGAGCTAATATTTTACATAACATCCTAATCCTAAAACAATCCGTAATAAGAATACACACCCCAAAAACGTATACGTGTATGTATATATATACAAGGAAAAAAAGGAGAAATTTTTTGGAAAAGTTTTCACCATGCGTGAACAGATTGTTCATGGGAAACTGCCGTACCAGTCAATCCGGAAGAGCTCGTTTCGCGGTATTTATGAAGAATTTTGATCAGAGAACGGGATTTCTTGCCTGCAAGAGATGTTCCATCTGTTATAACAGAGTAGAGAAGAGCCATAACTGACGGGTCATTTGCTAAAACTCCAACAACTTGAACACCGCCATTGTTGCACAGAGACAACAAGATCGAAACGCAGTACTCTTTCGCGGCCCGCGAATTCGAGGACTGCAAAATGTTCTTGATTAGATTGAGAGCCGGGGTTCGAAAAATCAAATTCGCGCCGTCGGAATTCTCGGCTAAGTTAACTAGAACAGCTAGTGTGTCTGTTATGAGTTCAGTTTTGTCTGAATGATTTAGTATGTCAATTAGTAACGGAATAGTTCCAGCTTCAATCACTCTTTGCTGGTTGTTGGGGAAGAACAAGAGCCCGAAAATCGCAACCACCGCGTTCTTTTTCCCGCAACTTGTGCCGTCCCTGATAAGCCTGATGAGCGCCGGGATCAAATCTGGCGTCTCCCCGATAAGTTTCTGGTACTCCTTTACCGCCGAGAGGTAGAAAATTATAGCTGCGGATATTTGCTTGGCTTCCAAGGAAAGTCCGTTTTTGAGAACGTCAAGAATAGGCTCCAAACCGCCGCTCTCGACGATCAATATCCTGCCATTGCCGTGTTTCGAGAGCTTCAGCAACGCCGCGGCGGCGTTCTCCTGTGTCATCGGAGCGGAAAGAAGGTTCAGCAAAGGCAGAACCGCGCCTGCATCGATGAAGCAAGACCGGTTGAAGATGTTCGATTTTGCAAGCAACCGAATTTCGTACGCAGCCTTGTTTCTCTGTTCATTAGTACCGAAAACGAGCTTCCGGACCAGAAATGTCGACAGGAATTTCATGGCTTCCGCGGCGGCCAGACTTCCCGGGACCATCGTCCGCGTCACGTCGCGGCTCTGCCGTCCTGATTTCGATAGCGAAATGCCGCTGTCTTCGCAGAATTGGTGTATAAGCTTCCGGAGAGCGGAATTAGGTACTAATTCTTTGTTTATCAACTTCTCCCCTGTTTTTGGACAGATTGAATTCCCTGCTTTGAGCCATTTTTGGATCGAAGACCGATCGTAAGTCTGGCCGGTGGATACGGTCACCGGATCCGTCATTAGCTCGAGCGAAATCGGGCACCGAAAATCCTCTAGATTCAAGCAACTAAGCGCCTCCACACTACACCTCGAGAATTCGACTTGCGCCGAATTTCGACAATCGAATTCTTCGAAGATCACTCCTCGGCAGTAGCTCATCAATCCAAGCAATCCGCTCAGGAACGGAACCTCCCTCTCGTTGCAATCCGAGCACTGGAAATCGATCTCCACTTCCAAGAATTTAACGTCCTTGTTGCAATCACTCCAAGTTCCGATCTCAAGGTAATCCAAAATTCTCTTCAGAGAATTCAATTCGGGTTCAATTCCTTTCTCTAACCTAGAAATTATGGCGAGCACTTGGTCCGCGCATCGCTCGTCGTCTCCATCGAGCTCGAACTTCGCCTTCCTCGCCTGCCTCGCCACCAATTCAACCAACTCCCTCACTTCGCCTCCGACATCGATCGACCTCAAGGGAAGAACATCGAGAGCCGTCGCGATCGCTCGTATCAAAACCCTAAATTGCGCCGCGACGAAGCTGCACCTGGTGAGAATCCACAGCCGAGAGCCATCGCGCGCGCAGTCCTCGAGCAGGAACCGAAGCTTTTGTAAAGCGACGTGGAGCTCGGAGAAGCAGAGCACCGCCGAGTCGGAGAGGCTGGAGCCGCCATGGCAGCGATCGCGGACCTCCTCGAAGAAGACGAGGAGGAGACTCACCTGGCGAATGGCTTCCCTGGCGTTCCTCCGCTGCGTGGGGAAGTGTCTGCACTGGAAATCGCAGATCTCGCCGCAAAGGGAGATCAGAGAGGCGAGGAGAGTCGCCGGAGAGATTCCCTCGCAGGGGTGAACCGCCGGAAAGGTTAAAATCCGGCGGTCCGTACGCTGGGATATTTGAATCATTGAACAAAATTTAGAGGGAAAACGTAAAGACAGAATTTTTTTCTTTTTTTTGTCCTTTTTGAAATCGCCGCTGAATTTGAAGTGCTTACAGTTAGGGAAGGGGTAGATAATAATAAGATCGCCTAGTGGGTCCCCAGGAGAGGTGCCAAATGTGATTACGTGGCAGATTTTTGTGAGTTTGACTATGACGAGTCTGATGACAAGTTTAAATCGAATTTTTAATTTAAGTTATATAAAAATTTATTGTTAGAATGAATGAGGCCTGAAAGTGTATGGGAAATACCGTGGGGAGAGCCTTGAATGACACGTATATAAGGACACGTGTACGCATGTGATTAGGCAAAAGAGGCTTCTTGGATCGTGGTTTTTGTCTTTTCCTGGTGAACTGTGCCACTGTGGTACTGGTAGGGTTCGTACGGATAGTGGCTTGGGTGGGCCCACAAACCGACCAGTACACGTGGGCGAGTAAACAATCGCCGCGTTACCTCGGGCAATGGGGATCTAATGTACCTTCCTACTCAGAGATTCAAATGCCACGTAATCAGTTGCTGACATTTTTTTTCGAACGGGAAAATTGCTGACTTTAGTTTGTATTTATGCATATTATTATCTTTTGATTTTTCTTAAAACAAATAACGTGTGTCTTCAGCATTATACATATATATATATATTCTGTTTTTTATTTTTGTTTTATGTGTACCAAAGTCTGTAACCTGGAAGAATAATTTTCTTCTTACAAAAAAAAAAGAAAGTATAAAATTGTTGGAACGAAAACTTGATATTGAAGTGAAGAAGAGAATAACATGTTTGGTTGAAATGTTGTGCTATTGCTCCAAATAAAAAAAAAAAAAGAGCAGTATAATCCCCGCTACTTCATTTTTTTTTTTTTTTTTTTTTTTTTTGAGGAACCCTACTTCACTTTTGGTGCATGAGTTGAGTTGTGTGTGTATGCATATATTTTTATTATTATTATTATTATTATTATTATTATTTGTGCAAAACCAGTTTAGGAATCTAGGTTTCATATTTCTTGCATTTGTAAGCCAATCATTCTTTTAATTACATTAAGATGCGAATTAAGCTATTTAACATGCTTTTGTATTAGGGATTTATTTTTATACTTGGGGAGTTGGAGTTATTAATTAGCTTTTAGCAAGTCTATCCTTAAATTCTCTTAGGATCAATAAGTTATTTATTCTTTGGATTTAACAAAGAGTTGAGAATGTTTCTAAATTGATGACAACTATTAAAATTTGAAAAAAAAAAAAAAAAAAGTGCACCCATAAATGTTACTTGAGTTCATTAATTTGAAGGAAAATACAAAAAAAAAGAAAAAAAAAAAGAAAAAAAAAAGATGAGAATTGGAACGCCTTTCTTCTGTTATATTGCATTAAACTCACACTTTACTATAATCAAAAGTTTGAAGATAAATTCAGTTAAAGTTGAGGAAACCAAAAGGTCAAAACCACTTATAGGTATCATGTTAAAGTTGCAGGCGTTACTTAAGTGTATGATGCATACGGTGATAGTAACAAATAATAACTACATGAGCTCATAAGTACGTAAGATCCTATGCCCATATATGCAACACTGTAAATGGCGAGTTTCCAAACTTGCCGACATAAAATTAAAGTCCTGACAGTTATGTATGCAATACCAAAACAAGAAAAATAAAAATAAAAATAACTAAAAATAAATGACTCAAGGATCAAGATGGGTCTAGATTTTTCTAATCTAATATCTTTTGTACCATTTCAGTTTCTTCATACAAGTTGTTAACCAATCTTGTTAGTTGTCAATCGGGTCTTTTTCTCTCTACACGCGTTTCTGATTATCATTCGCTTGCTCTTAGGAAGTTAATTAATTAACACTTATCAATCTAATATTAATAGTAGTTATTTGTGACCGCAAAAGCTTGTATAAAATTTAGCTGCTGAAGATTTTTCTTCTTCTTCAAACGAAACCATGATGGCGATTGATGTACGTGAAAGGGCTTAAACGTGGACCATTTATTGAATGACACGTACATGAAACGCGTTTGATTAATGTCGTTTGCTGATTATTAGTTAATTTGATATTAATGCGATGGTATATTCACCAAACTCGTTTTATTATTTATTTATTCATTTTCTTTCTTAACTATAGATTTGTGGCCACATAGTGGAGCAGCCAGTCATTGTTTGGGAAAAAAAAGAAAATTGTCTTAGTATGGTCCAAAGACTCCAAACAGCCCCATTCTAAGAAAATTTGGCTCTTTGCAGGAAAACTAAAAACTTATATGTGTTTTGACTAGCAAAAAGAAAAAGAAAAAAATGTGTTTTGACACTAATTTAAGAAGTCTCCTAATTAAAGTAAGGTATCTGCAATAATCTTGTACATGTCTAAATAAGATATCAATATGAAAAAAAATAATAATAAAACTGTTTATTCATTTAAAAATTTGACGAAATTTAATGAAATTCTAACGGTTGGATGTAATAGTAATAGGACTTGTTTTTTAATACATATGCAGCGTTCAAAACATCATACGGTAGGCATTGTCCTTCTAACTATCGGTTGAAATTATTGTTTTAAGAGGAAAAAGAGACGAATATCTTTTAGAGTGTATTAATTTAAATTTTTATCATTTATTTTTTAATAATATTCTTTTAAGTTAAATAATTATATTAGATAAAAAAGTATTAATTAAGAGTAAAAAATAAAATTTTAAATTCATACACTCTATAAATAAGTTTAACAATTTTTATTTTATTTTTTTTTAACCGTTAAATTAAGTTTTTAATGCTATGATATGTGAGTGTTCATATTAAGAGTTTGTGTACAAAACTACTCTAATCAGTAATTAGAGATAAGGCCAATGAAAACTTAATTTAACAGGTAGAATAACAGTTTCTACCATATAAATTCTCTTTAAAGGGAAATTAAGAGGACATTTATTTTTTGTATTCGTCACTAATTTTGAATCATGATTCATAATTTTTTATAGTATTTTTTTCTCATAAAAAAATACACATAAAATAAAAATGATTCTGAATCATTTAGGGGACGTTTGTTTCCTATATTCGTTCTTAATTTTGAATCATGATTTATAATTTTTTTTTATTAAAAATGCACATAAAATAAGAATAATTTTAAATTATTATTCTGAATACATAAACTAAACGTAAGCTTAACGTGCTAATGTTATGTAAAAAAAAGACAGCTGTTTTTTTTAACCTGCTAAGTGCTACGAAGAGCATTTAGACAGCTCTCCATGGAACGTGAAACGCTGACAGACAATCATGAGCTGCAACAAGTTCATGCACACGAGTCTTTACTACCTAACTTCCACTGTTTAGTACGTTATGTTAAGCTAAAGAGTATGATGGTTATTACATTTTTATTTCTAAGCAAAGAAAAACAAAAAAACAAAAAAACAAAAAAAAGGAAAGAAAGATTGAAGAGTATTATATTGTTAATAATAACCGACCACGCGTTGGTAAAGGACATGGTCAAGTGTTTAAGGAAGACAAGCCACCAATTTTAGTGGATTAACATTACGACAACATGACAAGTGGGCTTTTCTTGATGTCCAAGTGAGAACCATTTCCCTTTCGGCCAGCTTACACAAAATACTTAAGCAAAAGCTGGTGCATAAAATAGACCAAAAAGCAACAAGACAAAATATATTATATATTTCACACAGCTAAAGACTTACAACTCAAAGTAAATGGGACAGTTACACTTTACATGATGATTTTTGTTTTTAAATAAAGTCAAACTGCTTCAAAACAGGCCCTGGATATTGTTTCTGGGCCGACTTTGCGGACCATTTGATGGGTGAAAATCATGAGGTTGGCGATGGAGATAGATGAAAGTACGCAATCAATTTGGTTAGCACATGTGGTGTTTGTTTCGAACCACAACTTATATTTCTGTTATAATATTTTTTTAATAAAAATTTTTATTTTTATTTTTATTTTTTTACATAAATTTATTTTTTAACTCAAGTTCTAACTTAAACGCGGCTGAATTATGTAGAATGATGAGTAGCATAATTGTTATTATTCAACATTATTAGTGCACCCAAATATCTCTAAAAATATATTATTTATACATCTATACTATTACACAACAAAAGAACTGTAGAGCTAATCTCATAAAAACGACATTCACAGAGAAGGAATTCATACACTCCAGAAGGCATGTCGTTTTGGGGCAACTAAAAGGTTTGATTTGCAAGTTTAGATATTTAATAGCTTCAGCCAATTAGAATAGAACACGTAGCAAGGCTATCACTTTGTTGTTTACTTGATTATGTAAAGACATAGTTCTTGAAGGTTTTGTAATATAGTTCTTGAAGGTTATGTATTCTTTAGCATTCCATATTTGAGTATTGTATTCTTCAGAAAAGAGATTTAGTGAGAGAAACTCTAAGTATTTTTAGAGAGAGAAATTGTCTGTACTGTGAGGAATTGAGGGTGTAATCTTTCTATGATTAGTGGATAGAGTTTTCTGCGAATGAGCTTAACGGGGATGTAAAAATTTATTCCGAACCTCGGTAAAACAAATCATTTGCATTCATACTGTTTTGGTTTTCTAACGTTTCCTACAATTCCGGCGAGTTGGTGTTGGAGTCGCTCTAACAGTGGTATTAGAGCCAAAGGGTTTGTGATCGGTGAAGGAGGTCACGAGTAAATCTTGAGTTTCTTGATCAAGATTATTAGGAATTGACAAGGATGGGCACGGTAATATTCAAATTGGAAAAGTTTGATGGGACCAGTGATTTTGGGTTATGGAGGAAGAAACTCAGGGCTATTCTAGTTCAGCAAAAAGTGGCCAAGGCACTTGGAGACATGAAGGATGTCACTAGAACTGATGAAGAAAAGAAAGAGATGCAAGAAATTGCATATTCAACCATCATCCTGAATCTGTCAGATAATGTACTAAGGCAAGTCAACGAAGAAGACACCGCCGTAAAGGTAAGGCTCAAACTCGAGTAGTTGTATATGACCAAGTCTTTAACTAACAAGATCTACATCAAGACAAGTCTGTTCAGTTGTAAGATGGATCCCAACAAGAGTCTTG